TTAATGAGATTGGCTGTATTAATAAAACTAAAGAAAAAAATCAGGAAATTGCTTCCATAAATGCTGAACAGGCATTTGACAAAACTCAGCACCCTTTCATGTAAAAGGAGAAAGAAAGAAAGAGAGAGAGAAGGGAAGGATGAGGGAAGGAGGAAGGGGAGAAGAAAGGGAGGAAGGAGGAAGGAACAAAGGAAGACTTCAGCTCGAATGGCAGCTTCTCACTTACTGGGAAAACATTACTGACAGTAGAGAGACGAAGATGACCACATGTCAATCAATCACTATGTACCACTGGAAACCAGAGTAGGTGCTAGCACAACTGCATCTTAAAAGCATTTAACTTTACAAGAGCTGGAAGAAGGAAAAAAAATCTATCTCTTCAGATAACATGATTATATACTTGGAAAACAAAAACTGGACACACTAATAAAAAATAAGAGAATTTAGTAATGAAATGGGATAGCTCCATATGAACAAAAATCAGATAGAAGAAACAATGGTTGATAGAAATCTGTATTTCTAAGGTAGTTTTGTAAATGTTCTATCAATGGAATATAAATTCCACAGCCAAGTAGGGCCATTTAGAGATGAAGATGTTCAACTCATTGATCATGACCCCAATTCAATGGAATTTAATTTTATCTTGCCCTTATCAGATGTTAAAATAATTACAAAGTTAAGCCATTTTAAAAACATATATCTGAAAACATATATTAATGAACTACCATATGCTGAGTTATCTTGCCAACTTACCGGAATTCAGAGCTAGCCAGGAGATTTGTAAAGCACACCTCTATTGTTTGTGAGAGGCCTCTGACAGGAACATTTTTTTTTTTTAAGATTTATTTATTTATTATGTATACAGAAGAGGGTGCCAGATCTCATTACAGATGGTTGTGAGCCACCATGTGGTTGCTGGGAATTGAACTCAGGACCTCTGGAAGAGCAGTCAGTGCTCTTAACCTCTGAGCCATCTCTCCAGCCAGGAACATTGTTTTAAGCCGCTGATGGATTTCAAGTTTGAACAGACTATTGGGAGTGCTGCAGGCGGGACCTGAATGGAGGAAGTGGGCCGCGGAGCTGCTGCTGAGGAGCGCGTCTTAGCTCTGGCTCCCTTCCACTTCTCTCTGCTCCCTGGCTGAGTTGAGCAACTTCCCTTGACCATGTTCTTCCATCGTGACATTTTTGCTCTGTCACAAACAGAATGGCAACAGAACCAGCTACTCATGGGACAGAAACCTCTAAAACCAGGAGCCAAAATACGTCTTTCTTTTTTAAATGGCTCGTGGCAGGCATTTTCCACAGCAATGAAAAGGCAGCAAATCACTGGATGGTACCAGTGAAAGAGAAACCACCGTCTCCTATATGACTACCTTCTGACCTGGGGTTGATCAGGGTTGGACTTATTTGAAAGAGAACAGGGGTAACTGTATAAGGTGTATATTAATCAAGGTACATGAGTTTGGGTTTAAGTCGGTCCAGGACATTAACCCCCAAATGGGTCATCAATGGAGGCTAGCTTGCTTTAGAGATAGAAGCTTCTGTTATTTTTGTTGACTAAGCCTTCAAATTGACTTCTCACATGGAAGCCAAAAGTAGATTTCTCCAGAAAATTGGCATCCTAGGGAGAGCCAGGTACTTTGAAATTTTCTAATTAGAAGTTAAAGGTTATATAAGCCCAGCTGCCAAATTGACTGTCTGACCTTAAAAGCCAAACAGAATCGCGCCCTCTTTTCCACCATCTCCTCCTTAGTCAAGGCCTCATCTAGAAATAAACATTTAAATGCTAACAGCAAGCTGTGTGATAAACGGGGTCTGGAAATTACAGGGGAGCTGCTACAGTTGATGACTTTGGTAACCACACAAATTCTGTCTGTGTAAGCGACGTAGTCATTAACAGCCCCTGTTTGGCCTCCGTTTGAACTAATTCAGGAAGAGAAAGAGTGTTCCGTGCACTCTTCTGTGTCCACTGACCACTTGTCCCTGCAGCATATTCACACATTAAATCATGCTCATGTCAGTTTGAGTTATAGACCCTAGTGCTGTAGAGAAATCTAATGAAGAGCCCACAGATGCAGTGTCATTCATACAAAATAAATGACAAATAAACTAACAGGCCTAGGACCACCTCGTCAATAAATTATTTGACCAGCTGTGGACCACAAAGCCTCCTAACCCAGCTGTCCTACTTGCCAAGACAAATGTAGTCATATGTTATACCCGTGCATACGTTATAATAGACCCAAATTAAATGGTCTCAAATAAGAGGACCCTTTTTGCTCTAAAGGATCCTAGTTGTTTATAGAAATTCCTGAACATGTGCTCTGCCCAGATCAACAACGCTACCTCTCATATCTGTCATTACATGGAGTCATGCACCCGTTCATGGACCTGTCATGTACTGAGTACCTGTCACCTGTGACGTGAAGGAATACAGCAGAGCTCTGCAGAAACCATGGTCTTGCCTTCTTGGGACAGCCATAATATTTCCCTTTGTTTATGCTGTTCTCATTTGTCAGTATTCACTGCTAACAAGCAGTGACTGGAAGAAAATTTTACTGCGACCTCTGTTGAAGAAATCCACAGTGAAATACTTCCTTAAGAATGTGCTAAGAATATTGTTTCCCAGCATTACTACAGACACTGCAGGACTCCATATGGGGGTGAGGAGAATCACACACACACACACACACACACACACACACACACACACACACACACACACAGTTCTGTGCTACTCTTTGACACTCTGCCTAAATCAATGCTTCTTCATAAATATATGAAAATGGCCTGTAACTCTAGGGGCTTAAGGCCCTTCCCCCTTTCTCCAGTTATTTCAACAAAGCACCCAGGCACGTCAATAAAAGCCTTCCCTGGGTGTCAGAGGTCCTGTCTTTATAACCACACATGCAAGGGTGTCAGCCCTCCAGGAGAAAGGCCTGTGGGATTATGCAGCGTATTTCAAAGGCTTAGCCCATGACCTGGCTACAGAATGAAGCTGCTTGGGCTGAAGAGATGAGTCAACAGTTAAGAGGACCGGAGTGAGTTCTTAGCATGCAAGTCAGGTAGTTCACAACTGCCCCTAACTACTCCAGGGTGATCCAACGCTTCTGGACTCCCTGGGTACCTGCACTCACATGCATATACTACACACACACACACACACACACACACACACACACACACACACACACACCATATATCATTAAAGTAATAAAATGAAGTCTTGAAAAAAAACAAAAGAAAGCCACTTAATGATTCTGCACAGAACTATGGCAACAAAACACACAGCAATAACCCAGTGAACCTGGCCTCTGTTCCACAGGCTAATGCAGTCAAATACTGGTATAGACTGACTTAACTATTTGAAGATAAAACAAACAATAGAGACCTTGAAGTTGTGTAAAGTGGGGCGTGGAGCTGAGTCATAAGTGGCCATTGATTCTTAGTAACGTTGAAAGGAGTTCCATATGAGTTACCTCCAGAGCATTCTAGGCAAAGCGTAAAACGTGGGCAGGAAAGGGATTCACCCCTGCGCACAGCTTTGCGTGAGTCAGAGTTTGCATTGCCAGGGAAAACATGCAGTGGCTTCCAGGAGCAAAAATAAATAAATAAATAAATATAAAACTAACCAGCTAAAGGGATCGCCTGCCCAAATAACCTTTACCAAGGGGTTGCTCCAGGGAAGCTACGGACGGATTCCAATAGGTCTGGCCAACCCTAAGTCAGCTGTGCAGTCTGAGGATCCACAGCAGCCTGTAGACTTTCAGAACAATGGCTGTCGTCGCACAGTTCCTTCTCTGTTGCAAAAGAATCCAACACAGATGTCTGTAATCTACCCTACGGTGCCAGGTATTTACGACTGGAATGGACAGCAAGTGACTTAAATTTGGAAACTCCTGGTACTTTGTTCACCTTGTTTCTTACATCATTTGGATTCCTTCAAAGGATGTGTTTACCCTTAGGATGAGTTTCTAAACTGAAAGAACAGCCAAACCCTCAGCCTATGACTCCATAGAGCAGCCACTGACTACTGCTTTTGCTTGAAAATACTTCCATTTTTACTCCAATCCCCAACGATCCAGACTTAGCCACTGTTAAATCTGCAATATATTCTTGCCTTTCCATTATGCCTATCCCTCTTCTTCCTAGAATATAGATTAATAGTATATAAACTGTCCTGCAACTTGGCTTTCATCACTAAATAATTTAAATTATATGCCTTTGCACGTCAGTAAACAAAGGGTTATATGTTTTTTTAAAAAAAATCTTATCTATATCATAATCCCATTATATGAATCTAACATTATTTATTCATGTAATTCCCCACTGATGGACATTTGGGTTATTTCCAAGTTTTGATTATTAGAGGTCATACTGCAACTAACATCTATTTACATTCATATCGATGCATTACGTACGCATTGTGAGAGATAAATCCTTAGAAACTGAATTGCCCTGCCAGGTGCTATATTGGTAAATGTAATACACATCCCGAAAATCACTTCCAAAATGTTTGCACCCGTGAACAGGAGTTCCGTGCACCCCACAGGCTTTCCAGACTGGGACCAAGACGCTGGGGAACATGTTTCAAAGGGGCGTGGTAATGATGACTCACCTTAACTTTTCTCTCCTGTTTTCACTTTACTCTTCATGATTGTCACCTAATTATAAGGAAGGCAAAAGAATGCTATTCTGGATATTCATAGAAGGTATAGCTATATGTATTTTTGTTACTATAACTAAATGCTTATTGGAAGCTACTTGATTGTTTTAAAAGACGTTTACTTCAGCTCATGATTTTGGAGATCCAAGGTCACAGAGCTGCACTGGTCATGCCCTTCTTACTGGCAGGGTCCCAAGCCAGTGCTGAATGTCACCGGGCAAGAGACAAGGGATGTGTGTGCGGATCCGCTGATTTCTCTCCCTTTAAAGAGCCTGGGGATTGGGCCAGGACTTTGGACATTCTAGCCAAGCTGTGTCTCTCTCTCTATCCCTAGGGTTTCATTTTCGTATTACTGTGACTGACCACGTGACAGAAATCAGCAGGGAGAAAGACTTTATCTCACCCTTAGGAGGGATCCTCAGCCCCTCATGGAGGGGAAGGTAAGGATGGTGATGGAAACATGAGGCAGAGTCATGTTAACACTGCGGTGGGAATGAAGAAGAGCGAAGGCAGAACCCTTCCAAGGCTCATTGAGTTAACAGTGGGAGGTATCCCGGTGGGTCGGTGTGGAGGGGCTCCACAAAGTCACCCATGCAACAGGCCCCACATGAGAGGTTTATTGGGGACCGAGGTGCGAAGGTGGCCTCTGGGCCAGAGCAGAAGGAAAAGAGAGCAGAGAGTGAAGGCGCTTGTTTGTATAAGGGTGTATGGTGCATGCACATAGGGAGAGTGGTGGCCGTAACCACAGTGCTGCATCTTGGTGGTTGATGATGATGTGTCCTGCTGTCACTCCGTCCCTGAGGGCGGGCCAGTGGAAATGCCTGAATGCTAATACTTTTACGTAGTGACCTAGCCATGCCCGGGTCCTAAGGGTTATGCAACCTTCAAAATAGTACCACGAGCTCGGACCCAAACGTTCAAAAATGTGAGCCCGAGGTGAGACATTTTAGATTCAAATCATAACACGGGGGTCTTACTCCATACCTTAAGCTTGTTATGCTGGTTTGAATGAGAATAGCCCCATGGGCTCATCTATTTGAATACTTGGTTCCCAGTTGGAGGAACTGTTTGGGAAGGACTAGGAGGCGTGGCTTCGCTGGGGGAGGTGTGTCACTGGGAATGGGCTTTGAGGTTCAAAAGTCCATGACATTTCAGTCACTCTGCCTCACAGTTATATCTTCAGATGTGAGCTCTCAGCTACTGATCCAGTACCATGCCTGCCTGCCTGCTGCCATGCCATGCTTCCCACCATGATGGTCATGGGTTCTAACCCTCTGGAACCATGAGCTTCAAATTAAATGCTTTCTTTTACAAGTTGCTTTGGTCATGGTATTTTCTCACAGCAGTAGAAAAGCAATCAAGACACTGGTCTTGAACTCACTTTGTACCTTGGTTGGCTTTGAACTGGTTCTCCCCCTCCCCTCCATTTTTAAGGCCACTGATATTCAATCAGGAAGCCTTCACCTTGATAGCATTATCTAATTGTATCACTTTGCAATGGCCCTCTCTCTAAAATCCACAGTGAATTATATCCCCACCCTCTTAACACCTCAGGATGGAAATTACCTTTCAGCAGAGACTCCCTTACAGGACAGACCATTCCCAAACCACAGCCACTTACTCCAAGTTATCAATACCTATTGTATAGGCACCTCATACTTTGCAGATAAATTACTTATTTAGATGCAAAGTTTAATTACCTGGAGGCAGGAAGGTGCTCCCTTTCAGATCTCAGAGATGGGAAATACAAAACATTCTCCGATCTCCTTGCTATTATTTGTTGACTCCTTCATTAGCATATGTATGAATCCACATTAATGCTTTCATTCATGCAGCCATGCAATATTCAAGTCAATGAGGTCCTGGGGTGCTAAGCATTCTGGCTGTGGAGATGGCAAGCAGCTCTGCCCGATGATCACAGTCAGTGTGGCCCAGCGTGTGTGTATGGAGCAGCAGGGACAGGATCAATATCTACCATAGTGTGCAGAAGTGGGAGCTAGGGAGCATGCACCTGAGGGGGAGCTCTGCAGAGAAGGCGAGGAATAGGACCCTGACAAAAACCACATCTAATCAACCAGGAAGGAAGGGACCAAGGAGCTCAGGATTAGATTCAGCCTAAAGCAGAATCTTTGAGTAGGAGCAGAAAGTTGCAGTTTGTCAATATTGTTGTGTGTTATTCTTGGGTTTTTAATGAAAATTCATAAGTAGTAGAAAAATACGTCTCAAACCTGTATTTGCTGAAGCAAAGGGCAATGGAAGAAATGAGATTTTTATCCCATCTACTGAAACTGACAGGAAGTTTAATGCCTCTGTGCCCGGGGTTGTCAGCAGAACTGTTCTAACTTGTTGATTCTAGAGAACATGGAAATGCAGAACCATAGCAATTTAGCCATCCCCTGTCTTGATATTTATCCTAAAGATGAAATTTATCCTAGGGCAGAGAGAGATGGATGAATACTTTACTGATAATTCATAAGTCAAGTATGGAAACAACCTAAATGTCTGTCCATAGCAGATAAGTATATAATGGTAAGACTATGAAACAGAATGATACAAAATCATTAAAATATTAATTTCAAATTAATGAGCACATGACTGTATTCCAAGCCCTGGTAAGACTGATCAGAGATCATGAGTTCAGTAGAAAGACTCTGTCCCAAATGGAGGCCAGAGGTTAACCTCAGATATTATTCCCCAGGAGCCACCTACCTTGACTTTGTGAGTGCGTGCGTGCGTGCGTGCGTGCGTGCGTGCGTGTGTGTGTGTGTGTGTGTGTGTGCATGCACACGATGAGTAAATGTGTTATCTCTCTCCACCTTTGTGTAGAACCAGGGATTGAACCCGTACCATCAGGCTTGTGTAATGAGCACCTTTACCTGCTGAGGCATCTTACCACCTTATTTTCTGGGACAGGTTCTCTCATTGGCTTGGCATTTTCCAAGTAGGCAAAGCTGCCTGGCCACTGAGTATAGGACCTGTCTGTCTCTCTCTCCTCAGCACTGAGATGACAAGCACATGCCACTATACCCAGCTTGTTTACATCAAACTCAGTTCCTCACGCTTGACTAGCAAGAATTTCCTGGCTAAGATATCTCCCTACCTCAAGACAGGCAACTTTTTTTTTTTTTTTTTTTTGAGACCAGGCTGGCCTCGAACTCACAGAGAACCACCTGCCTCTGCCTCCCAAGTGCTGGGATTAAAGGTACGCACCCCTATGCCTTGCAAGATAGAAAACTTAAAATTAAAATAGCAAGCCTCAAAATGATGATACCAAATGAACTCACATACATAGTAATGTGAATTTTGTGTATGTGTATACATTTCTCTGTCCACATACATGTACATACACATACAGTTACATTTATATACACAGGCTCACAAATCTCTATTTTTCTGCTCTGTCAGTCAAGACACTCTGAATTATGCTCTGCCTGAAATCATCTGCTGCTTGCAACCACAGAGTTTCATTTTCACATTGCCTGTTTATCTCCAGCCAGCAAGTTAGTGCCTGTCTCATGGCTACTCCAGGACCTACACGGATGACACAGACTCATCTCAAGGCAAGCTTCCATGATTGTAGAAGCAGAGAGAAGAACACATGGGCCTCTGAGATGTCTCTAAACACAGGGTCAGAGGATGTGGGAGGCCAGCAAGTGAGCACCATTACTGCCTACCTCATTTACATATCTAAACCTGTTTGTGACAGACAGCGAGAGCTGGAGAGATGGCTCAGTGGTTAAGAGCAGTGGCTGCCCTTCCAGGGGACCCAGGTTCGATTCCTAAAGCCCAGATGGGGGCTCACAACCATCTCTAACTCCAGTCTCAGGGGAGGTGACACTTTTTTCTGGCCTGTGCAGATGGTGTACAGACATACATGCAGGCAAAACACTCGTATATACAAAAATAAAAATAAACCTTTAAAGGAAGAGAGAGAGGGGTGGGAAAGAAGAACGCCACTCTTCTGGTGGGGTGGTAACAAGATTATAAATATTTTTCAAATTTGCTTTCCAGTATTTCTCAATTTTGTTTTGCTTCTGTCCTTTTCTGCTTTTAAAATAACAATTAATGTGGGGTGTAATACTTGAAGCTCTGTAGAAGTGTAGAGTGAAGGAACCCCCTCCTTCACATCACCTTTTTCTACTCCTAGCCCCTGTTCCTACCCCAGAAGTAACCACTGGGAAAACTTTGCTGTATTCTTTCAGGATTATTATGTATGCATTCATAAATACTCATAAATTTCTCTTATGAGAGAAAAGGCAGCATATAAATTGATATACATGTGATTTTAATAAAGTAGTTTCTCATAAAGAATACATAATCCACCTGTAACAGCTCAGCGTCCCTAACAGTGACCTTCTAACTCACCCACGCTCTCCTTTCCTTTCCATCTGGTTTTTCCAGCCTTCTGTCTGTTCGACCCACCTTTCCTCACTGCCTGTTCACTCTGAAGCTCCACTCTGTGCTTTTATGACTCAGAGCCCCCATCTGCGTGTGTCACTTCTCTCCCTGCTGTGTCCAGACACCCAACAAAAGAGAGTCAAGGAAGGAATGGCTGCTTTGGGCTCACAGTTTGTGGGCACAGAGTCCCGATGCCGGAGCCTGGATACAGTCACGAAGTGAGGGATGAGTGCTGGTTCCCAACACTTTCTCCTCTTTATTCCATTCAGAACCCCGTGGGATGGCGCCACTAAGATTTAGGGTGGGTCTGCTTACCTCAGTTAACTCACAGACATGCCAGAGGTTTGGCTGCTTGGTAATTGTAGATTCTGTTACGTTGGCAATAAATATTAATGGTCACAGTGGCCCTGACTGGGAGCAAGGACCATGAAACTCACTTTCATGAGTAGCTTCAATCAATGTTTCAATCAATCTCGTGCCAGCCCAGCAGCCTACCCTCTGGGAGAGATACGCCAGCCCAGCGGCTCACCCTCTGGGAGAGGTGTGTGTAGATGTGTATTGACTTATGACTAAGGATGTGAAGCCTTAGCTTATTACTGAGAAAAGCCTGGAATAATGATTCTTCTGGTGGTCTGTAGAAGTATATCTGATCTCACAAAGCATGATCAATATTGTTATCTTAATTGAGAAAGTAATAAAGGAACATAGTTATTTTATTCTAGAAGTCATAAAAGTAGGGCTTGCAGACTGATCACAGCATTGATCTCTAGCAGGAGAAATGGATGTGGTTTGTAAGGAACTCCCAGCAACTCTGGTGATTTGTTCCTGGATCTAAAACTACCCTGAAATTGAAAATAGCCTTTGAAAGTAACACTTATTACATCTTACGGTCTGACGAATTTATTCAAAGTCCAGAGTTTCCCCATCAAAGACAGTCTCTCAAGATGCTATGTAGGAAATTCAAATATCTAACCTTATGGTAAACATATAGACAGAAAAGGCAGAAATAACTAGAAAAGCAATTTGAATTAGAACACATAGC